CACACACACACACACACACACACGCGCGCACACACACACTCATAGAGAGCCAGAGAGCCAGTCCCGGCCAGTCCCATCTATGGACACCGAATGAAAACCTTCTCCTGAAGAGAAGCCCCGCTGCACTCTGCCCGGGCATCTCTGCACCGCTCAGCAAAGAAAAGCCTCCATCCGGGGGAGGGCTGTTTCCTCGGAAAGCTACTCAGTTTCCCTCCCCCTCCTCCCCAGGGAAAAACATCCCCCTCCAACCTGTCACCACGTCAAGCCAGCCCGCTCATCAGGCATTTCTTTCGCCCTCTTACTCCCCTCGATCTTCCCAATAAATTCCCCCGCGGTGCGCGCTGCCTGCGCACAGGCCTCCAGACGTTCCCCATTCCCGAGCTGGCAGCGCGGACGGCAGGAGTATATCATAAACGTGCATCGCACATGTGGTATCGATTAAAGATTTCTACCACGCAATTTTGCGACTGACAGACTTTAGGTGGTTCAGTTGTGGATTACAGAAAGGAGATCTATTACTTCAGGAAAGTCGGGGTGGAGGGGGAGAGAAACCCCTCTTCTTGCTTTCAGCCTTTTGAGCGGCTGCCTGCAGTAATGTAATAACCTGTTTTATAGGTCAGACAAGAGCCGTGAAAATAGGAACTGCAGAGTTTACATTAAGCCTCTCTCTCACACACTTTTTAGGGAGATTCTGTGTTACATCAATTAAATGTTGCTGCTCTTTGTTCTGCGGTGCGTCTTTTTACATGCGATTTAGAAGGATAAACAGTGGCTTATCTGCCAGAAATACAGACCTGACTGATAAAACCCGACACACACCCACGCTCTGAGCGTCTGTGTGTACACTCTCCACACCACTCGACCTGTAAGGCCACAGGAAAAACTCCCAGGGCCCCTCACCAGGAGTCCTTATTTCCCTTCAGGGGGGAGGGGGGGGGGGGCGGGGGGGGAGCCGGTCGCGGCCACAGACTGCGCCTGATTCAGCACTTGGCAAGGAGGAGCCCGGGGATGGCTCCAAGGCCTCCTGCGGCAGTCCTGGAGAGGTTTCCTAAACCTCAGCCCGGGCTTTGCAGCAGCGATCAGCGAGCCTCGCCGGGCCAGATCCTGACCTGGCTCCATACACGCTGGCGGCATCGTCTGCCTGACTGCGGTGCTGGCCCTCGATTCCAGGAAATCTTTACAGTCCCCTCGATATGCACCATATAATGCATGTTATAGGCTTTCGCCTCGCGGTATCCACTGATCCGTCCTTTCCCTTTCTTCGCACTGTTTTTATTGATGCCCGTGAACAACAAGGCGCAGAGCAAGGCTGCGCGCTGCCAAGGGGGGCTGCAGCGCAGGGAGGCCGGCAAGCGGAGAGCCGCGGCCCGGCTGCGC